TAGTTTTTGAGTTATAATTGAGTCACTTTTGCTCTTAAATGCGTCAATATCGAGATAAATACGAAAATATGAAAATTTGACGAATTTATTGCTTTTTCAAGTGATTAAAGGTAACCCTTAGGAATCGTAGTATGTTACAAAAAAACTTTTAGTACAAAAGTTGTAGCAAATTTTATTGCTAACAATATTGCTCTCTTGCACTTTTGCTCTTAAATGCGTCAATATCGAGATAGATACGAAAATATGAAAATTTGACGAATTTGTTGCTTTTTCAAGTTATTACAGGTAACACTTAGGAATCGGAGCTTGCTATAAGAAAACTTTTATGACAAAAATTGTTGTAAATTTTATTGTTAACAATATTGCTCTCTTACATTTTTGCTCTTAAATGCGTCAATATCGAGATAAATACGAAAATATGAAAATTTGACGAATTTATTGCTTTTTCAAGTGATTAAAGGTAACCCTTAGGAATCGTAGTACGTTACAAAAAAACTTTTAGTACAAAAGTTGTAGCAAATTTTATTGCTAACAATATTGCTCTCTTGCACTTTTACTCTTAAATGCGTCAATATCGAGATAGATACGAAAATATGAAATTTTAAGAATTTGTTGTTCCTTCAAGTTAATAAAGGTAATACTTGAAAATCGGAACTTGCTATAAGAAAACTTTTATAACAAGAATTGTTGCAAATGTTATTGTTAACAATATTGCTCTTTTGCACTTTTGCTCTTAGATACATCAATATCGAGGTAGATATGAAAATATGAAAATTTTATTAAGTACCATAACTTCATTTTTTTAAATGGCACCCCTTATATTTTATTGCTTAATCGTCTTCGGCGTCTCATTTTACATCTTTTATATCCCATATGTCCTATACGTAACATTAATAGTTTGGGAGATAATTAGGGTTTTTTGAAAAATGGACACATATCGATATTTAACCTAGTGTGTTGGTTAATTTTTAAACCAATTTTTCTTAAGATTTTCAAATGGAACACCTTGTATATTATTTTACTATCTTATACAGAATTTAAATACAAATATTTTTTGTAATACAAAGTGTCTTAAAATTCTAGACCGTTCTCCAGATAATTACCAAAAACCACAAATGCGTGCACAAAATTTTAACATTCTTGGTTTCGTCAAAGTCATGATTTTCAAACAATAAAACGCGAACAAATTCTAGTTTTGGCCAACATCTCTTGTTTGAAAATTATGACTTTGACGAAACCATGAATGTTACCTTTAAGAATGAGTTACCTTTAAAATAATTTGTTAAATAAACGTTGTTATTCCATAGCTCTCTATATTTTTATTAATACTTTGCTTACGAAATTTGGAATTTGCGCGCATTTGTGGTTTTTGGTAAATATCTTGAGAACGGTGCAGAATTTTAAGACACTTTGTATTACAAAAAATATTTGTATGTAGATTATGCATAAGATAGTAAAATAATATACAGGGTGTTCCATTAAAAAAATACATTTTGTGTTGTCACACTGTTTTGGACCACCCGTATATGCGAAAATATTTTCAAGAATTACATTCATATATATAGTACAAGTCTGCGTTTGAAAGAAATTTCTAACTTAATTGGTATAGGAGCTATGGATGCCTGACGCACTGTTGCAGGACCCTGTATATATAAATATTTGAGTTTAAGTATTTAAAGATACAATGTACAGTGTCCATCAAAAAGTTCTTGTTCTTCTTTCGATCTAAAATATTTCCAAGATGATCGCCACTTCCGATTTATCGGAAGTAGGTCACAAAATCGATATTTTATATGGAATGCTATGGCTTTTCTTACATATTCAAATTCATTACACAAAAGTAGGTTGACATTGATAAAGATAGCGTATATTTTTTAAACCCGCATTTCTCAGCCACCGTGCAAGCAACAAAGTTGAAATTTTGTATAAATATACTTAAATATACAACATGGCCATAAAATATTACAAAACGCTGTTTTGCTGGTCAAAACTCAATAACTTTTAAATACATTTGTTTCGTCGAAAGTCATATATAGAACACTTAATTTATCTTTAATCTTTATGACCCATTACTAAGGTTTTATGTATAAAAATATTTCCCCATCGCTTTTAGTTTATGAATTATGATTGAGTTAATTTTCGCAAATCAACAATTTTAATGTTTAATCGGTTTAGAGCTTATAAATAAAAAATGGTAATAATTGGGTTCAATCTTGTTATGGATCTAGTCTTTATGGCCCATTACTAAGGTTTTATGTATAAAAAGTTTTTCTCCATCGCTTTTAGTTTTTGAGTTATGATTGAGTTAATTTTCGAAAATCAACAATTTTGATGTTTAATCGATTTAGAGCTTATAAATAAAAAATGGTAATAATTGGGTTCAATCTTGTTATGGATTTAGTCTTTATGGCCCATTACTAAGGTTTTATGTATAAAAAGTTTTTCTCCATCGCTTTTAGTTTTTGAGTTATGATTGAGTTAATTTTCGAAAATCAACAATTTTGATGTTTAATCGATTTAGAGCTTATAAATAAAAAATGGTAATAATTGGGTTCAATCTTGTTATGGATTTAGTCTTTATGGCCCATTACTAAGGTTTTATGTATAAAAAGTTTTTCTCCATCGCTTTTAGTTTTTGAGTTATGATTGAGTTAATTTTCGAAAATCAACAATTTTGATGTTTAATCGATTTAGAGCTTATAAATAAAAAATGGTAATAATTGGGTTCAATCTTGTTATGGATTTAGTCTTTATGGCCCATTACTAAGGTTTTATGTATAAAAAGTTTTTCTCCATCGCTTTTAGTTTTTGAGTTATGATTGAGTTAATTTTCGAAAATCAACAATTTTGATGTTTAATCGATTTAGAGCTTATAAATAAAAAATGGTAATAATTGGGTTCAATCTTGTTATGGATTTAGTCTTTATGGCCCATTACTAAGGTTTTATGTATAAAAAGTTTTTCTCCATCGCTTTTAGTTTTTGAGTTATGATTGAGTTAATTTTCGAAAATCAACAATTTTGATGTTTAATCGATTTAGAGCTTATAAATAAAAAATGGTAATAATTGGGTTCAATCTTGTTATGGATTTAGTCTTTATGGCCCATTACTAAGGTTTTATGTATAAAAAGTTTTTCTCCATCGCTTTTAGTTTTTGAGTTATGATTGAGTTAATTTTCGAAAATCAACAATTTTGATGTTTAATCGATTTAGAGCTTATAAATAAAAAATGGTAATAATTGGGTTCAATCTTGTTATGGATTTAGTCTTTATCGCCCATTACTACGGTTTTATGTGTAAAAAGTTGTTCTTCGTGGCTTTTAGTTTTTGAGTTATGATTGAGTTAATTTTCGAAAATCAACAATTTTGATGTTTAATCGATTTAGAGCTTATAAATAAAAAATGGTAATAATTGGGTTCAATCTTGTTATGGATCTAATCTTTATGGCCCATTACTAAGGTTTTATGTAGTATAAAAAATATTTCCCCATCGCTTTTAGTTAATGAGTTATGATTGAGTTAATTTTCTAAAATCAACAATTTTGATGTTTAATCGATTTAGAGCTTATAAATAAAAAATGGTAATAATTGGGTTCAATCTTGTTATGGATCTAGTCTTTATGGCCCATTGCTAAGGTTTTATGTATAAAAAATATTTCCCCATCGCTTTTAGTTTATGAATTATGATTGAGTTAATTTTCGAAAATCAACAACTTTTATGTTTAATCGATTTAGAGCTTATAAATAAAAAATGGTAATAATTGGGTTCAATCTTGTTATGGATCTAGTCTTTATGGTCCATTACTAAGGTTTTATGTATAAAAAATATTTCCCCATCGCTTTCAGTTTATGAATTATGATTGAGTTAATTTTCGAAAATCAACAATTTTGATGTTTAATCGGTTTAGAGCTTATAAATAAAAAATGGTAATAATTGGGCAAACTCTAGTCGTAGGTAGATTTAGCTCACAACGATATGTCTACTCAAACATAAATTATGCATTAATTAGCTGTCGAAAGTAGAAAATATTCAATTTTTTAATTTCCCTGTGAATAGTATAGAAATGCAAATCAAGATTATCTTCCTAATTATTGTTTGTATCAAAATATTTTTCAAATAAAACTTATTAAGAATTAAACAAGGAACAACTTTCATTAGCACCATTTTTGAAAATTATCAATTTTCATTCGCGTTCCAGACAGCACGTCGCGCCTTTATCTAACCTACATACAGAAAAAAAGGGGCGACGTCCTGTCTCTCGAACATACAAGTAGTTGGTTCGACAAGTACTATTCGAGAAATTAAGCCGATTCCATACTTAATGAACAGCTTATATATTGTACACAGGGTAATTCTCAACTTATACTCATAAATTTGGGGATTTTTTTTATTAAACTAAAAATAGCAGTTCGAATTCGTGTACATTAAAATTATTCATTCAAACAGTTTATAATAAACATTAAAAATTTTTTCATATAAGTGTTGTCACTCCTTTATTTGTATTAGTCAGCTATATCGAGACTTTCCTGCACTAACATTAAACGACACGAAGGGGAAATTAGTAACCATAGCAACGGGATAACTCGTTTTCAACTCATTTTTCTCGTTGCAATCCCCCATCTAAAAGGGTGGCGGAGAAATTCAGCTAAACTAGACAAATTTGAAGGGGAGATGAAGACTACGTTTTTTTTTGGGGGATATTTTTCATGTCAAGAATATAAATCGCCTCCAACTTTATTAGGGGGCGATTTATTATTAACTTAATAATAATTTCGAATTTTTTTTATCGACCTTATGTTGTACCTTCTGGTACAAACTGAAAACCTTCAATTAAGCGACATCACCTGGTCCTAGCGAAGTATAAAGTTTCGCGTCGAGTCGACTTTGTAAAAAGAAAAAACAAATACCGCAAAAATAAACAACAGATAACTCGGAATAACAACGCCCCCTATTCATTTCGAGTTTATCAACGGCGATAAAAATTGTAATAATAAGCGGAATTAATTCGTTTGGACCACCTAAGACGGTTTAATTTAATAATAATAAATGAGTTTAGTTAAAATGTAATAATTTGTTTTTAGTGGGTCGAAGAATCTTTCACAAATTTCCAAAAAGGCATCAATTGGAGATCGTACGTCGTCTGCGATGTCGCCTACAACAACGTTAACAACTGGCTGTGGACCCCGTTTATCGATAGGGGTGTGGCCAATCGTATTTACATCGAAATCAAATTCACCATCAGAGATTGTAGTTTATTTCCAGGTAAATAAAAGCTAAAATCTTACTTTCGTTCGTTCGGTGACTTAACCAACAAACTAAAAGAGGACGAAGAAGATGACCGAAAGAAAAAAAAAGGAGAGAAAATTTCAATATTCAAATTGCCCGCCTCGAACCGGTTCTATTTCCATAATCTCGCAACGGATGAACGCGAAGAACCAACGAACGAAAGAAAGAACATAAAAAGATACCATAATAATAATAATAACAATAATAACATTATTTATTTAATTTCAGGAAACGCGCTTTCTTGTAAAGAGACCTTTAGCTTGTTATATTACGAATTCGACGCAGCAACAAGGGAACCACCCCCATGGGAAACCGATAGTTACAAGTTAATCGGTAAGTTTACCATCAAGTAAAAATTGTCTTGTTTAAATAACATTTCCGGAAAAGAGAATTAATCCGCCATTAAGCCGTCGAAACGTCGTTTTGTCATCAAACTAACATTAACCTCGACGTTCCGGGTCGTTTACTCGTTATGTTTTATTAATTTTTTAAGAAAACCTGGGAAGAAGAAGACCTGACCCTTTTATATAAAATAATGTTCTTTTAATGATCTCGAAAATAATAGCCTTTTCAAATATAAAAGAGATAAACCATGAAAAATTTAATTCGAAAACGTCAATTAATTTGTGTACACACTGTATATATTATGTACAGTGTGTTAATTAATTATCGTACCCGAGTATGCAACCAATATCACAGTATTGGTATTGCAATACGCAAATTGTGTTGCATAAGTAGATAATCTGTAGATAAGATTAAATTAACAATCACTGTTAATTATGCAAGAGCTTAATCAAATAATTCACAAACACCTCAAAATCGTTTGAGACATCCATTAGGCCCTAAATATCATTTCAGGCAGTTCTTTAGATCGTTTCGGATATCTCTTTATATCATCGACCCTAACATATACATTTTTTAACAATAAACAATGTTCCAGACATCCCTCAATATCGTCCTTAACAAACCTCACGTAGTCTTGAGCAGCATTCAACTTCTCTCAATATTATTTATTTAATCTCATGTTCTTTAACATGTGCTTTACATTAAAAATTCGTATTTTATGTGCCAAAAATTTACGATATGTATGCTTCTGAAGATGACCCTATAAGGTCGAAACATGTAAAGCGGATTTTTATTAACACTAAAATGTATGATATATGAAATTTTTAAATCAAATTTAAATTCTTAAAATTACTGGTGAAATGGATTTTGTAACCAATTTTGGTCAAATTAACTATTTGTGCCGAGGTCGCTTGCGGCCGAGGCGCTACATCAATACAAATAGTAAACAGCCTGAAAACTCCTTTATTTTTTGTTGATGCAGCGCCTCGGCTAAATTAGACTTGATATCGAAATGCGATAAATAAATAAGATGTATAGTTTACTTAAGCCGAGGTCGATTGCGGGCGAGGTGCTACATCAATCCAAAAATCAAACAACTTTCAAGAATGTCAAATTTAATTACTTAAGCCGAGGTTGCTTGCGGCCGAGCTACATCAACACAAATACTAAACAGCCTATCATCCCTGAAAACTCCTTTGCTTTTTGTTGATGCAGCGCCTCGGCCAAATTAGACTTGGTATCGAAATGCAATAAGTGGATAAGATGCATAGTTTACTTAAGCCGAAATTGCTTGCGGCCGAGGCACTACGTCAATACAACAACTAAATAACCCCTGATATGTCTTTGACAACTGTTTAATTTTGGTGTTAATCAAGCTCCTAAAAAAAAAAGATATATATAGTATCGTGATCAATACAAGAACTGATGTTCTTGAATACTTCTATCTTTTTACTTTGATACGTTTTAACGTTGACACGTTAACCGTCACAGTTTGATAAATTTTGTATTCACTTTCCCATTGTCTTCTAATATGATGAGATGTTAATCTCTGGGCATATAGTTTTAATTCTCATTATAATTAAATAGGGCTAGTTCTAACGTCACAAACCCTCTCCACCAATCACCGAGCAGCTTTGGGTGTGTTAGCGCGGGAAATTCAAACATGTGGGAACGATCGGTGGTGGGGGTAAGATGCAATGTTGATTGCCTATCTTGGTGGTAGTTTACAATATTGTGGCTGATATTCCTAATACTGTCTGTTGCTCCCCTAAACGTCGTTTCATACAAACCTCGATATCAACTCGAATATCATTCAATAACATTCCTAAATATGCGTCTTCAACCTTGAAAAGTATTCAAATTTTATATCAATACTGTATTGATGTTATGCCTCGACCGCAAGCGATCTCGGGTTAATTAGGCTTGCTATCATGATGATATGATAGATATGATGCGTATTTTATTTAAGCCGACGCGCTACATCAATACAAAAACTATACAACCCTTAATGTCGTTGAAAACTGTTTAGTTTTTGACTTAAGCCGAGGCGCTACATCAATACAAATATTATACAACCCTTAATGTAATTGAAAACTGGTTAGTTTTTGTGTTGATGAAGCATCTCAGACGCAAGCAACCTCGGCTAAGATCCGGTTGTACCATCCTCCTGATAAACTATCTAAGGGATAATTACCATGGTTACAGTGGTTTTAAACGCTCTCATTGGCTAAGGCCCACTTTTACCACCTCTTGATAAAATAATTATAATAATTATCCGATAAATAAATTGGCGTTCTAGCCAATGAGAGCGCTTAAAATCGCTGTAACCATGGTAATTATCTGTCGGTTAAATTTATCAAGAGATAATAAAAGTGGGCCTTAGTGTGCCAATTCATCTATCGGATAAATTTATCGGGAGGTGGTACAACCAGTCCTAAATTAAACACTACATCAATACAAAAATCATGTAACCTGATGCCATTGAAAACTGGTTAGTTTTGTATTGATCAAGCGTCTCAGCCGCAAGCGACCTTGGCTTTATTAAACTGTCATCCTTGAAAAGTGTTCAAGTTTTATATCAATACTGTATTAAACTTATGCCTCGGCCGCAAGCGACCTCGGCTTTATTAAACTGCCATTGTTGAAAAGTATTCAAGTTTTATATCAATACTGTATTGACCTTATGCCTCGGCCGCAAGCGACCTCAGCTTAATTAGGCTTGGTATCATGAAGGAATAAGTAGATATGATGCGTAGTTTACTTTAGCCGAGGTGCTACATCAATGAAAAAACTATACAACCCCTAACGTCTTTAAAAACTGGTTAATTTTTGTGTTAATATAGCGACACAGCCGCAAGCAACCTCGGCTAAATTAAACTTGGTATCGTGATACAATAAAAAAATATGATGCGCAGTTTATTTAAACCGAGGTCGCTTGCGGCCGAGGCACTACGTTAATGCAAAAATCATGCAACCTGATGTCTTTGAAAACTGGTTAATTTTGTATTGATCAAGCGCCTCGGCCGCAAGCGACCTCGGCTTTATTAAACTGCCATCCTCAAAAGTATTCAAGTTTTATATCAATACTGTATTGAACATATGCCTCGGCCGCAAGCGACCTCGGCTAAATTAGACTTCATATTATGATGAATAAGTAGATATGATGTGTGGTTTACTTAAGTCGAGGTCGCTCGCGGCCGAGGCACTACGTTAATACAAAAATCATGCAACCTGATGTCTTTGAAAACTGGTTAATTTTGTATTGATCAAACGTCTCGGCCGCAAGCGACCTTGGCTTTATTGAAATGTCATCCTTGAAAAGTATTCAAGCTTTATATCAATATTGTATTGAACTTATGCCTCGGCCGCAAGCGACCTCAGCTTAATTAGCCTTGGTATCATGAAGGAATAAGTAGATATGATGCGTAGTTTACTTTAGCCGAAGTGCTACATCAATGAAAAAACTATACAACCCCTAACGTCTTTAAAAACTGGTTAATTTTTGTGTTAATATAGCGACTCAGCCGCAAGCAACCTCGGCTAAATTAAACTTGGTATCATGATGCGATAAAAAGCTACGATGCGTAGTTTACTTAAGCCGAGGTCGCTTGCGGTCGAGGCACTACGTTAATACAAAAATCATGCAACCTGATGTCTTTGAAAACTGGTTAATTTTGTATTGATCAAGCGCCTCGGCCGCAAGCGACCTCGGCTTTATTGAACTGCCATCCTCAAAAGTATTCAAGTTTTATATCAATATTGTATTGAACTTATGCCTCGGCCGCAAGCGACCTCGGCTAAATTAGACTTGGTATCGTGATACGATAAGAAAATAACTAAACTGGTTAATTTTGTATTGATCAAGCGCCTCGGCCGCAAGCGACCTCGGCTTTATTAAACTGCCATCCTCAAAAGTATTCAAGTTTTATATCAATACTGTATTGAACAGATGCCTCGATCGCAAGCGACCACGGCTAAATTAGACTTCGTATTATGATGAATAAGTAGATATGATGTGTGGTTTACTTAAGTCGAGGTCGCTTGAGGCCGAGGCACTACGTCAATACAAAAACCATGTAACCTGATAGCTTTGAAAACTGTTAGTTTTGTGTTAATCAAGCGCCTCGGTCGCAAGCGACCTCGGCTTTATTGAAATGCCATCCTTGAAAAGTATTCAAGCTTTATATCAATATTGTATTGAACTTATGCCTCGGCCGCAAGCGACCTCGGCTTAATCAAGCTTGGTATCATGATAGAATAAGTAGATACGATGCGCAGTTTACTTTATCCGAGGTGCTACATCAATGAAAATACCATACAACCCCTGATGTTTTTAAAAACTGCTTAATTTTTGTGTTGATGTAGCGCCTCAGCGGCAAGCAACCTCGGGTTAATTATACTTGGTGTCTTAATGCGATAAGAAGATGTAGTTCACTTAAGCCGAGGGACTACGTCAATACAATAACTACGAAATCGGATATCTTTGGAAATTTTTTAGTCTTTGTATTTGACAAGTATTCAAGTTTTATATGACATTGTATCGATATTACTTTATCTCTTCTTCTTTTTTCTTTATATACCGCTACAGCCCAACCTGGATATTAGCCTCGTTTATTTTCCACCTCCATATCTGTTTATTTTATGCCGCCGTCCTTTAAACTCACATAGCCAAAAAATCGCGTGCATCCTCCTGTATTTCATCTTCCCATCGATTATGAGGTTTCCCCATTTGTCTATTTCCATAAATTCAACAACCCAATTTAAACAGGTGAGAACGGTCGATGGTGGGGGTAAGGTGCAATGTTGGTTGCCTATCTCGGTGGCAGCGAACGACAACGCGCGACCGTGGCAATTTACAATATTGTGCCGGATATTCTTAATGTTGTCTGTTGGCCACCTAAACGTCGTCTCATACAAACTTCGATATCAACTCGAATATCATTCAATAACATTCCTAAATATTTGTCTTCAACATAATCTCAACCAAGTAATAGTCTTTAACATTATTCTGGATATGTCGTTCCCAACGCACCTTCCAATATCATCCATGATATTAATCATCCCAGACATTCATCAATATCGTCTCTGCCAACCCTCGACATCTCTTAATATCGTCCTGAACATCCTTTCCTTCAATATCAAATTTATCCTTTTACATATCACATCTGATCTTCCTCAAGGTTATTATCAAATAAATCATGTTCCAGTAAAAGTGCCTGATTTTGACATTTTTTTTCTGTGTAAGTGGCAACTCTGAAATTTGGCAGCTTTCATCTGCGATTATTCCGATTATTAATTATGGAGATTAACAACTTCAAATTTTGAGAAGCACCCTATATCTAGACCATACAAGCCAATAAACTATACACAGATCCGGCACTTTGATTAGGACACCTTCTCAATATAGCCACTAATCTCAACATCAGTTTTGACGTTTATAAACATCACTTTGAGCTCCTTCATTATTTTGACTAAGTATTTCTTAATATAGTCTTTAATAAAGTTTAAACAAGTATAATGTGTTAATTAATTATCGTACCCGACGTCATCGTTGCAAGTATGCAACCAATATGACAGTATAATACGCATCATACGCAAATCGCGTATTGCAATAAAAATACTGTGATATTGGTTGCATACTTGCAATGATGACGTCGGGGACGATAATTAATTAACACAGTGTATGTACTACAATTTTCCCTTATTTTTAGACTTTGAATAATGTACCAATCAAGATTTGCTTTAACCGTCAGGTGTATCTTGATAAATTTGTCGTCTTCTGTCTACTTCTTGTAACACTCAATCTTGTAAATCTTCGGAGTTAATATCTATTGATCACTAAACTCATCTACTATATACTCTATGTGGCTAATATTTTGTTGCATCTTAATTACGTAATGAAATAATTAATATTTTTTTAAATTACAGGAAGAATAGCAGCAGGAGATGGTCGTTTCAACACCAACAGCGAAGTAAACATAAACGTCGAAGTAAAAAGTATTCCGGTTACAAAAAAAGGCGTTTATTTCGCATTTCGCGATCAAGGCGCTTGCATATCTTTGCTCGCGATCAAAGTATACTACATAACATGTCCTCAAGTTACCATCAACTTCGCGCATTTCCCGGCTACGCCAACCGGAAAAGAAGTGACCGTTATCGAACAGGCAACGGGAAAATGCGTGGAAAACGCGGAAATCGTCGAAACCCCGACGTATCTATGCAAAGGAGATGGAAAGTGGACTTTACCAGCGGGCGGGTGTAAATGCAAATCGGGATTCGAACCGGATGTGGAGAAGTACACGTGCAACGTGTGCCCACCGGGAAAATTCAAAGCGGAAGTCGGCGATTCGATGTGTCAACCGTGTCCGAAACATTCGAAAGCCCCCAGTTCTGGGTATTCGGAGTGTACTTGCGATTCGGAATTTTTCCGCGCACCCATTGATTTAAAAAATATGTCGTGTACACGTAAGTATTAAATATGTTTATTACGCAACCAATATCACAATATTGGTACTTCAATACGCGATTTGCGTATTTGGTTGCATACTTGGTGTAATTAAAAATTTTCTTTTCAATTAATAAATTTAGAACCTCCGTCTTCCCCCCAAAACTTAACCTTAAACTTCGTTGATCAATCGACGGTGATGTTGAGTTGGAATCCCCCGGAAAATTTAGGTGGGAGAAACGACATCGTGTATAGGGTGAAATGCGACGCATGCGCAGCCGGAATCGTTCAATACACACCGAATATGGTAAATTAATTTTATTTGATTCGACCTAAATCACTTAATTAAATTTTTAGGAAATTTTTAACGACACAAAAGTAACCGTCCAAGGTTTAAACGCCGTCACAACGTATCGATTTCAAGTTTTCGCGGAAAACGGAGTTTCGCACATGACGAAAAAACAGCCGGAATTCGCTGATATTACGGTTACGACGGAAGCGAGCGTTGTAAGTAGTATAACCAAGGTACGAGTGACCTCGGTGAAAAGTAGCGAGATCACTTTAACGTGGGAAGCCCCTACATTAAATGACGGGGGTGGAACTGACGGAGACAACGAAATCGAAACGTACGAAGTTAGATGTTACCCGCGAGGCGATATAGATTTTAGTAATTCAACGACGATTTTAACCACGGAATTAAGCGCTACATTCACCGGATTAATGCAACGAACCGATTATGGGTTGGATGTGAGGGCGAAAACTAAACGGGGATGGGGCGCGTATTCCCATCCGATTTTTAAGACGACCGGTCAAGTTTTCAAGACAGGTAAAAAAGAGTTGTGTATGTATTTTTTTTTTATTTTTTTAATATTATTTGTTGGTTTTTGAATTTAATTTTGTTTCGAATTAAATTTAATCGATTGCGTTTTAGCTTACGTAGGTGACGACGAAAGTTATCGTTTGCAAATAGTCGCGGGTGGAATCGTCGCAGTCGTGGTCGTTTTGGGGGTGATTATAGTTTTGGCCGTTGTCTTTTTGAAATCGAGATCGAACGACGAATGCAATAAGAAGCAACCGAGCGATTGCGATGCGTTAGAATATAGAAACGGAGAAGGTAAGAGTTTTTTTAATATTAATATCGCACCAAAAAATACACGATTTAGATTTTCTTTTTTTACATTTTCGGTCCTTTTTTGAATAAATCGATTTTCTACACACACTTTTATTATTCCATGCAGGACTTGTAGTGACGTACAGTAAGTCCCACCCCGTGTTGATGGATTTTTGCTTATGTACTGGTTTATTTTATAACGATGTGATTTCATTATTCAATAAGAACATGTTTCTCTGTCTTAAGGGATCATCCCGTGTGAACACACTTACTTTTGATATTTTAAGCACACTTTACAATTTTTAAAGCCCGAAATCACCGTTCATTGCAAAAAGATGGGTTTTGATCTGCTTTGCAGTTAAATCACACAGATGACGTCCGTTTTCTGCAATACACTGCTGTAGTCGACTAGACAACAAATTTAACTTTGTAATTAATTTTATCGAGTCATATTTTCGTAATCATATGGACTACGCGGCCAATCGAGATGGATAGATAAACGTTTCCTATGTGAGGAAGGATAGCTTTCAAACTCAATTTCGAAGCATTGATAAAATGACGGCATTCTTCTGGGTTATGTCAGCATCAAGTCATCGACATTATTGCAGAATGAACGATACACAGAAATACACTGTTGGAAATAATTCACGAGCACACCCTGTATAATCTGAACGCGTGAGTCTAGCGCAATAAAATTTGGTATGGAAGTAGTACTAAAGTAGTGTAACTTACTCTTACATGATTGAATTTCCATTCTGTCCCAT